ATATATATATATATATATATATAATAATAATAATAATAATAATAATATATATAATATATATATATATATATATATATATATATATATATATATATATATATACATATAAACATACATATAAATTACCTGGATATCACTTCCAATGATGGCTAATTCTGTCATGATCCACAATGCATATCTAGGGACTCGTGGGTACTCTTCCCTGCACAATTGCGCCAGATGTTTGCCAGTGACCACGCCAGCTCTGGCGGCTAGGCATTGCATCATACCTCTATTAGTTCAACAAAAAAATGGTTTATTGCGTTAGACAAGTCACATTAGGTTTCCATTATGCCCCTTTTTATAAAAAATAATAATAGGAACACGGATGGAAAAGCGGCTTTTGATTTGATGAGAATGAGGACGAGAGTGACTACTCTAGCTGTGGCGGTTTATATTTGAAACAGGCCTGTGTTTGCACGATGATGTATATAGAGGCCTGTGTTTGCCCGATGATGTATATACAGGCCTGTGTTTACACGATGATGTATATATGGTGTATCTCGGATTGAAATGATTGCAGTAAATCTCGTTTTGCGCAATAGAAGAAGTCGGTATATCGATTGACAGATGTTGCAATATAATAAGCAGACGACAACCACTACTTCAGCTTTGGCAGCAAGGCACTACAAAAGGCATCAATTAGCAATGGGATCAAAGTTTGATGGGTTTAAAGCGTTTTTCATAACAAGACACAGAATTTGCATTGTTGTTGCCAAAACACTGTATCAGGACTCGGGGTTGTGTGCTGAAGATTGGGCATAAGAGATGCGAGATAATACCGGCACCATGGTTAATGGCACTGAAGTTGTATTCGGGGGTCTATTAGTGAGATGGAAAGTGTGATCCAATAGTTAGATAAAAGGTGTGATTCAATAGTTAGATGAAAGGTGTGATTCAATAGTTAGATGAGAGGTGTGATTCAATAGTTAGATGAAAGGTGTGATTCAATAGTTAGATGAAAGGTGTGATCCAATAGATAGATGAAAGGTGTGATCCAATAGTTAGATGAAAGGTGTGATTCAACAGTTAGATGAAATGTGTGATTCAATAGTTAGATGAAAGGTGTGATCCAATAGTTAGATGAAAGGTGTGATTCAATAGTTAGATGAAAGGTGTGATTCAATAGTTAGATAAACGGTGTGATTCAATAGTTAGATGAACTCGGATGATTAGAATCGACACCTTATATTGGAAGAATGTGGACTGAAATGGCAACTAAGACCTAGTTATGTCATAATGGGGAGCAGAAGAATGTGGACTGAAATGGTAACTAAGATCTAGTTATGTCATAATGGGCAGCAGAAACAGCACAGACCCGAACGTCGCCGTACAAGATTGAAGCTATGAATGGCAATTCGAGCTAACTTCATCAACGCTTTCTACTAGCTCTACACGATAGGAAAGAGAACACAATTGCAGTCCAGCATAGCCAGTTCAGTAGGTATGGCACACTTGTCAGCAGGAAAGTCACCGATTCAACTACCATAGGCCACCATCGGGGTCAAGATTGCTGTTTGAGTTCAGCATATATGAATCGGATCCTAGCCACAATACCACACACCCTACGACTGTAGAACAAATTAGGACCCAATGTATTCTTAGTCACAATACCACATACCCGACGATTGTAGACCAAAATAGGACCCAAAGTAATTGATAGCCGCCTTGTGCACCGGCCTGAAGATCCGATTCGATGTTACCTGGATCCACATATGCGATGCACATTAGGAAACCTGGTCCTGTGAATTGCCATAATTTATAAAAACTGAAACGTTCCTGCAGAGGTGCAGAACGTTGAATGGATGAGTGCTATGTATATGTATGAATGAGCTGCAGAGATCGATGGTTATTTATGCGAAAACACCGTTTTGGATCATGCAAACTGGCATCGATAAATTCTTAAGCTACGCATTTAGAATGGCTACGTTTGAAATAACCTCGTCGATGAGAAACAATGATCAAAGCATCTACAAATAAGGTATACATAAAAACATATCGA